ATTCATCTGAAAGAAAACAAATCAAGGACGACCTTAATCTAGATAAAAGTGATTATGAATTTCCGTTTTACACGACTGTCACTCTGTTAAAAAATTATGTTCCTGTATCATTCTAGTTCAAAAGATAACCACTTTTATATAGACTAAGACCAGCCTTGATTTTTGTTCAGTTCTGGGTGTTAAAAAAAATTTCTTTTTCTTTCAATACCACCAAATCTAAAGAAGCAATGTATCCTCGATATGGGTATATCAAGAATTCATTCGTACCATACATTTAAAAAAACAATACATTAAAATTTCTGTGATACCCCCCATTCCCTGGATGCTCTAAACACATGTTTATTTTCTTTAACGATTGATCCCAGCCCAGTGTATAGCATAGTCGAAGTTTTACACGTTTCCTCAATCTAAGATCCCTAATAACCATATAAAATATCTCCGTCTACGCTGTCTCGTGCCTATAACCCAGAAAGATCTCCCAAAAAGAAAACTAAAAAAAAAAAAAAAAATAGTAGCGTTTCGTCTTTGAAACAGTCATGCACCCGATAGATCGAAGTTCGCGGCATACGTTCACGTGTAAACGAACGAATCGATCAGTGGTTATCGACGGCGACACAGCCGGTGCGTCGACCGTGACGCTCCGCTTTCTCCGTCCCGTTCGACACGCCGGCCACGTACGCAGATGCTTTCCAGAAAGAGCCGGAAAGAAGGAAAGACAGAGAAGAACGATGGAAGAGAGCGAACGATACACTTTTATGCCGTGTGTTTAGATAAAAAAAAAAAAAGAAGAAAAAAAACCGAGAGAGACGAGAGACCCCTCGTTGACATGCGACGCGCGCCCTGGAAAATTGGAATGGACGTTTCCGTGGAGAGTCGGGTCGTCGTCGTCGTCCTCGTCGACGACAGCCATCTTTTTCCTGATCGCGATCTCTGCGAAGCGAAAGGACCGATTTCGAGGCTCCTCGGACCACGGTGTGCATCGGAAATCGCGATCATCGTTTCAATGCCCACTTTCTCGAGCCCCACATACGTGTACGTATACCCCCCACCCCCACTCGCCTCTTTTGTACGATATGTATACTCTCCGAGGCGTTTGGATCTTTCGGTAGACCTGCGCGGATGTTTATACATATTCATGACTGCGGATCCTCATGCAAATTCGCAGATGTTTGTGTACGCCCTGTTTTTCCTTTATTTTTCTTTCTTTCTGCCGGGGAAAAATGATAGTCGGAGACGGAGATATTTCGTTTTTGTGTAGGATGTGAAAATCGGGTGAAGGGACGATTTTAAAGTCTTTTTTTTAATTTATTAGGTGTATTGGTAGAAGTGTGGTAAAGGTTGTGCAATTTAAATTCAGAATACTGTTTAAGAATTCTTGTTCGGTGGAAAGTTACAGGAAATCCTCGATGAGTGCTCGATGGCTCTCGGTGTACTGAGGAAGAAAGGTCCCTAGGTGTAACGCTGACTTTTTCGCTGCTTCAGCCGTATACTAGCTATTAGTTTATGAAATATTCATTGTTCTAGAGGAGCCTTTGAACACTCTTCGAGGATTTACTGTACGTGGGGTACAAAGGCGTTGACAAATATCGTTGAAAGTAGCATATTGATTTTGGGGGTTATTCCTCAAGAAACGTAGAATTTTATGGAAAAAGGATTACACGTTGGCACGTCTAATAATAATTATATTCCACGAAGCTTCAACAGGCAAAGTTTATCTGAAGAAAAAACATCGGGATCTTCGGAGTCATTGTTGCGAGATCACTGACAATCAATAACGCGTCTAATGATATTTTGCGTAAGGTTTGAATTTGATGAAATTATTATCGCAAGATACACAATTGATTTCCCTCGAATATTTCCTGACCACTCGGAAATAAATCGTTCGTCGTGATCTTTTCGGATCGATTGATGACAGGATTATAAATTTTCTTGGGAAAAATTCCGGCGGCTATTAGATTTGCAAATGGAATTGTCGATTATGGCCAGTGAGCCTCCCTCGCTCTCTCTTTCTCTTTCTCTTCTCGCCGCTCGCAATTTCATAAAGCCCGTTTCTATGATGGCAGAGGGCTCGGCGGACCCTGCAGGGCTTCGTGCGACGCAGATTAAATGCAGTTCATGTAAAATTCAACGCGACCCGCGCCGGGAGCCTCGGGGGGGATACTTTCGTTTTTAAAAAAGTTCCATTAGACGGACGGAATTTTTATATCCCTGGCCACGGACGTTGCCTTATCGAACGGAACGGGGTTATTCGATCGTGATGGAAATCTTTCGTCGCCAATATCGATATCGAGAAAAAAAAAAGAAATATGTACATCGAGATAGCGTGTGTGGATCGTGAAAACTGGCGAAAAACCATTTTCGACCAAACTTTTAACATGTTGACTTGAACACTCGTTACTAGACTACGGGTTCGTCATGCAAATACAGGTATTTTTTAGGGACTAATTTATTGAAAGTGGAATTGGAATAAAAACTGTCGAGTCTATTGAGGGATTTATGAGATTCCAAAATAAATGAAAACCTCGTTGAGCTTCATCAAACATTTAGTTACGCAGTGAGTTTTCGAGACCATTGTAAATTCTATAAAAGCATAAAAATACGCAGGCTACTAGATACTTTTATTGTTACTTTGAAATTTTTGTCAATTCATTTTCGATCGTATATTTATTGTAAAAGTTCAAGCTATGTCGGTACTTATCCGTTGCAAATTAAGGCTGAATTCAAATGTCGGTCAACGGACATACAACCAAAAACTTCGTCTGGCAGCTAACAAACATACGTAGTCTAGCTTCCCCAAAGGATCTACGCCAAATTTTCTTCCCCAGAAAGAGGAAGTATCTACGAAGTGGAAGTGAAAATCCTGTAGAAAGAGGGACGTTGTTCCTAGTTTCGCAACTATTTCGGGTCCACCCAGTTAAAACCAGAGACGAACGAGGAACGGAAAAAAAAATAAAACACAAAAGTGATCATCCGTCGTCGTCGATGGTCGAGGATTTTTTCTAAACACCGCGATATATCGATTCCGGAAGGAGCCCTTTCACGGCCAGCATCGGTTGGGGGGAGGGGATCCGTTCGCGTCTGTCGGGTCGGTCCGTCCCGTTCTTTCGTCCGCTAAATACCGCAGCATCGCGAAATTAAAATATTGATCGAACAGCGTCGCGAGGGAGAATACGAATTGCGGTGGAGAGAAGAGAGTACACCCCTTCCCCACCCACCCAACTCCACTCCACCCCCTCGGTCACCCTGCTACCCCCTTCTTCTGCATGCTTCCGGCGGACCGATGGGCGGACAAAAAAAAAAGGGGGCAAAAAAAAAATGGGAGAAGGAAAAAGATTGCAGTCCGGCCCGAAAATTCCCGAATGTCAATGACTCGTCGAACCGAACGCCAAAACTTAGTTCGATATCGAAGGTTCGTCGACTTTTGTTCACCTTGTTCCTACTCTTCCACCGACTGTTTTCTGTTTTTTTTTTTTTTTTTTTTTTTTTTTCGTGGAAATCGTACGGAAGAATATTGGATACGAGGGATAGAATTTACGTACGGGGCGGATTTCATTCGAAATCGAGACGGAGAAATCGGTTTTTGATACTAATTCTTTCATCGTGATTCAGTTTGTTCAACGATCACGATAGAATGCACCCTGTCCGGCAGGCGGAGTTACGATCGAATATTTGTACAGGTAGACGAATATATATATATATATTGTTAATCAGCAAACTCGGCTTCCACTAGGAGAAAAAGTAATATAGGGAAAGGGCCTCTTACCATTTGGTATTACTGAAATGTATGCCAGATTAACATTCGATTTAACATTTACTTCACTACCTGGAATAAATATACAAAGTGGTAGAAGACTTTTTTTTCTATGCCACTTTTCTCCTAGCAAAGTTGAGGTTGCACGTCGATGTACACCTATAAACTTCCGGAAGCAAAATGGCGTCGCGTGAGCAGATAGGAAGTGTGGCCCAACTGACAGGGGTCGAAAAAACGAACATCCTATATAAAGTAACAGCGATTATCTCGGATGAAGAAGAGTTTCCGCGAGGGGATGGGGAGGGGGATCGAAGTAAAGCTGGTGGTCTTTTAATAAAGTGTCGCCGGCAAGAGAAAACACCGAGTGGCTCTCGAAGGATCCACGGAAGAAGTCGCGAGGGGTGGGGGGAAACTAGGAAAACAGAGTCCGGTCGAGTGTAATCGAAACTTCGGCCACGAGTGTGGCAACTTTCCCCGGAAAAGCGACCGCTAACTTATCCCCCACCTTCGTTGCGATTAAAACTCCCGCAAAAACTTTAGCCCACGGCAGCGGCGGTGGTCCTCGAGCATTTCCGGTCCCAGCGTCAAGCGTCGCTAACGATTCACGCTTCAATTAAATAAAGTGTTTGTCCTTTTCCCTCGTCGTCCATGGTATTTTTATTTGAATATATAATTGAAAATTTTCGCGGATAAATATCCTCGGTTTCGAGATCGAAAAACGCTGGGTAGGCGATTTTTCAAATTTCATCGGCTTCATTAATATCTTCCCCCCGCCCCCCTTGGGTTCCGTTCGGATTGTTCTATTAATACGGGAAACGGGGTCGTTATAGGACGATTGAGAGCTCTACTGGGGCTTTTTCAGGCCCGAGCGATAGCGACGTCACGAGGACGCGCTCCGCGCCAGAAATAGTCCCGAAACCTCATTATTTTTATTCTTAACCATGAAATTAGCGGGCGCGCGCGCACGCACACAAACTCCTGACGTTCGACTTTCGTGCAACCGGTCTGACATTTATTCCATCGGTTAACGAACTGCTGGGAAACTTTTATCGGAGGGAACTTCTATTGCGGCTCGAAAACTATCTATCTTTTCTTTTTTTTTTGCCCCCTCTCTTCTTAAATATCGATCTACGACGCGTGAAAAATTATTCCAAGTATTCGACGCTTTCGGTTTAATCATGATGATGACAAAGTTTTGTTGAATATTATTATGGATCACCACAGGAATGTCTTCGATCGGATCACTCACCTGGAGTTCCTCCTTGCACTGACGTTCCTCTTCGAGACTCATCCGTTTCTCGTGCTTCTTGTAGTAACGCCTCTTGGCGGCTTGTAGATTGAACCACGTGTACGAGAAAGACTTCACGAATGGTAGGAGGGCCTCAATGAATGGATGGAACTCATCCTGCGAGACAGAAACCATCAAACAGAACTGATTAGCAACGAGAGGGTGTGTAACATCTCTCTTTTCGTTCGTTTGAAACGATTCCGGAATGAGATTCAACCCTTTTCATCCCCCTTGCAGAGAGACCTTCTTTAACGTCTTTTTTCTTTACCAGAGAATTGTTAAATGCTTCTGGTACTGTTTTTTTTATTTTCATAAAAACGTTAACAGTTTGAGAATTACGCTAGAGGCGTTAAAATTTCGCCGAAAGATGTTAAGTCTGTCTCAGATACTAGGAGAAATCAATCGTTTTGAACGACGAAATTGTCGAGGCAAATGATAGCGGATACATATAGGGATGGTGGATTGTCTTGATTCGTAAACGACGATAAAACAGTTAATTTACACACGTTCATGTACGGCCGACAATCGAGTTAATTGCGTCGTTTAATCGTGTAATCGTGAACGGTGGGAAGGTCTCCCCGTAAGGGTTGAGTCTTCGATTAATTTTCAAACGCGTGTGTGTGTATATATACTGTCATGCATCGATTTCAAATCAATAGTTTCATGCGCTTCAATTCTCCTGCAATTCGACATGCAACCGTGAATCATTTATCAATCGAGAGCGAACCATTCCGAACCCCAATGTTACAACCCCCATTGTGCACCTAAACTCCTGTCGAAGATACTGACTAAAAGCAAAAACCTAGCAGAACCTATTTCGAACCGACAAAAAGAAAGAATGTGTCGTAACCTAGAAAATATACTTAGGGTAAAAAACCCAATTACTGACACTTTAAGAAACGACACTGACATTATTGCATAATTTTTGTATTAACTAACGAAAAACATAAGTTTTTATCTGTATTTATTATTATTTAGTATTTTCAATTGAAGGAAAAATTTGTTGTCATTTTCTGGCACCTCTACTTTTGTTTATAAATTCATTAGTTTCAAAAATATACATTTCATATACGTAAATATTATCACTTTTAGATTAGGTTCCAATCAATTAAAAATTGTTAATCATTCTACAAAACTGACCAAAAAGCAAATTAACAGCTGCGTTTCCTATCGTATAAATTACAGTTTCAATTTCCCGCAGAATTTTCTTCGCGTTTAACTTAACAACATTCATTTGTTATTTCAACTAAACCAATCCAGAATGACAGTAATCGTCTATGTGACAATAAATGGGTCTTTCACCCTATCATACACCGAAAAGCAGACAATTTCAATTTCAACAATTCCATCGCCGAGCTCCACGAGTGGATCTCCGTCGTGTCGAGAATCGTGGGTATTTTCTACGCGACGGATCAAACGTGCCGGGGAACCTCGTTTCGCCCGTGTAAGAGACGACGATTTCCCCGACAGAAGGAAGGAAGGAAGGAAGGAAGGAAGGAAGGGTGGGGGATGCACGGAAGGAAATTCGTCCTTATCGAAGACTTCGTTCCCATCCGGGATCGAAAAAGGTCGATGAATCTCCGTTTCCGGTCGCGGGGGGACTCCGCCCAACCTGGGGTAGGAATCGGAGGGGTGTGGGGTGGGACTGGAAAAAAAAGAAAAGGAAAAAAGCGAAGGGGTGTGTTCCCGTCTCCGATTCTGGGTCGAGGATCGAGCCATTCGACGATCGCCTCCGCGGAAGAATGGATCCACTGGCGGTCCTTTGTGAGGCAAATGCCGGGTCGGCCGTCAGGGGGCCATCCCGTGAACGGGACGGGGGTGGATGTAAACATCGTTTTACGGAGGGGTGGGATCAATTTTCGGCCGACTTCTCTATGGAGCACTCTCGCATGAAAATCAGTCCAGGGTCCCGGAATATTCATCGTCCGAACAATAACGTACGTACGAACCGTGCAGTTTCATCGCCTCTCTGCCACGCGGGACCAACCGACCGACCAACCCTCCCACCCTCGTTTCAAGGGGTTGGTGGAACCATCGAGTTGTAACGATGTGTGCTTGATCGACGGATTCGAGTGGACGGACGGCGGGATGGCTAATGGCGCGTGACGGACGCACAACGGGAGGACACGAAATTGCACGGAGGAGAAATGTTCAACGGAACGAAACTCTGGGTTTTCGCAACACGTGGCGCGGTGTTAAACAAATGTTCGCGAGTGGCTTTTGTAACGGGACTTGTGGAAGTGGAACGAGATTGTTTTGCGTTATTTTTTTTTATGGGAGAACTGTTACCGTTAACCCCTTACTTTATAACATTGAGTCAGACTCGTGGTGACCATATCAACAATGATTCAATAAACGTATTCTTTGAGTCAAAGGAAAATACTAGATTGCTAATATTAATATTTAAGTTTCCGAGGAAATATACAATTGCGATAAGAACACGAATTGCTTTTGTTTCTGGGGAATTATTGATGATAAAGTCATTCTGGAGAGTACAGACATCAAGAAAATCATAGGGCAAGGGGTTAAGGGTATTGGTGGGGAAATTAACTGAATCCAAGGGAATGATTGTTATTCAAATAAATCATTTAATCCTTTGCAATCGAAGTTGGCTCAAGTACGGGAAACTAGCAGAAACTTGTAGAGTACGTACTGAATCAGTAAGGAATTAGAAACTCGACGAAATCTTTTGAAATAAACATATAAAAAAATAATATATTCTTTTTCCCAAAATTTCAATGTTTACTACATTTTTCTATTTTTCACCTCAATATAGGTGTCTGAAATTATAATATTTGAATTTCATGCCTTGTAATTATTTTTACTGTGATCTTTAAGGAAGTAATCTGCAAGGTTACTGTCGCTTCCCACTTGTTACTCCAGGTACTACGTTAAACTATATAGCACCTGAGAGTGGCCTGTCAAGTGTAAAGGGTTAATTTGGTATTAACAAAAGTGCAGAAATAGTAATATACAATTAAATTATAATTAAACTTTTAAACGTAAGAAGTGCAAACGAAACAATTTCTGATCACTCTGAGCTGTCGAATTTTACGTGTATAAATTTCAAAATAGTTAATCATTATTTAGTCATATCTTTTAGGAAATAATCTTTATTATAATATAGTGGTGTATTTCAAAACAAAACTAACATCCTCTATTAACCAAACGCGTACATTTTCGACGATTTATGACTTAAATACAAGAACCGAAATAAACTGTGTCTGACTACGTACGACCATTTCCACTGTGTCAGTACATGTGTTAAAGGAGACAGGCTAAACGACTCCAAAATAAGCTGTTCCTATTTTATCTAGTACGTTCCACTCATAGTTTCGACAAGGATTTCCAACCCCATATTATCAAACTGTTCGTTATGAAAATCCGAATTCAGCCACTCCATCTGTACCATAAATCTTCCTAAAACCAATCCACCGCGTGGTCATCATCAATTCCAGCATACATCATCCCCCCCCCCTGGACCTTAAAAGCATCTAATATTCAAAACTTCCCTGGTCCCTAAACAAAAACCCTCACACATAATCTTCAGCCATTTCCACAAGCTAACGACCCTCTAAACACCCTGAATCCATTGTCTAAAATCCCATTCATACAGACCAATATACACCCCCCAAACGCTCAGAGATAAAGGGATCGGATTGTTAGCCGAAAGGTGAGAGAAACGGTGTGGGAATGAACACGTAAATGGGGAAGGGGGATGGGGGGCTGTGAACAAGCGTGAAACGACACGAACCATCGAGTATTCGCAAGCACTGCGGCTGCTGTGGCACACTACCGTCTGTCTGTCCCTCCTGCCGTCCGGCTGTCAGAAGCACCGATTCTCGCAGTAACAACCGTCAGGGTCGCAATACTCCTCCGCCACCCTGTCGCAGATTGATCGTGGCCTCATCTGCACCACCGTGCTCTGCTGCTGTCTCTCTCCTCCTCCTCGCCGACTCTCGTCCTCCTCCTCCTTCTTCGTCTCGATTAGACCTAAACCGACCGAAGAGTCGGCCTTTCCAACGATCTTTTTCTTCTTTCACGAGCACTTCCTCCTCGAATTCTCTTCCTTATCGATTACTCCTCACCGGCCCGCGCACAAGATTATTCCACGACGGTGTGTACTCCTTTGGAACCGTGGCTCGGCCAGAATCCTTTGGAAAACGGAAGATGATATTTCCTTGGGTCTATCCTCGGGGATCGACGATTGTGTTTTAGATTATTTTCTCGGTAGGGATTTCAGGCAACGAAATTACGGTTGTGTTCCACGGGTGCGTTGATTCTTTCGACAACGAAACTCTGTGAAAACGGTTCTCAGATTCGTCGATTTCAACGCCGGCGATAACCGATGTCGCGCGCAATCTCTCGACCAGTGGACAGACTCGATCGTTCTTCTCAAGCCTTGTGTTCGATCCTCGATAATATATATGATATATAACCTAGTCTTTCGCTAAATAGCATTTCTAGAGATAATTACATTACACCGAGATCGAATGATCTCGAATCATCCTAGAAAATAATGCGAATAATTTTTCTTCTGATGTTTGTAGAAGTATGGAAACTACAAAATCGTATATTAAAACTATTAATTCCTCTACTCTGTAAGGGACAATGGAAATACCGGTATTTATTTCGGTTTTCAGTAATATATCGGATTCGGTATACCTTTGATGGCATAATACCGATATTATACCGGTATTTTCGGTTGTGCCGTCGCCCTACATAACCCTATATAAGCCGTACCCTTATAGAAAACGAATAAATACTGGTATTTATTTCGATTTTCTGTAATATATCGGTTTCGGTGTACCTTCGATGGCATAATACCGGTATCAAAATCATACCAGCATTACATCGGTATTTTCGGTTGTACCTTCGCCCTATATAACCCTATATAATTCCTACCCTTATAGAAACCGAATAAATACCGGTATTTATTTGCGTTTTCAGTAATATATCGGTTTCGGTATACCTTTGATGGCATAATACCGATATTATACCGGTATTTTCGGTTGTGCCTTCGCCCTACATAACCCTATATAAGCCCTACCTTTACAGAAACCGAATAAATATCGGTATTTATTTCGATTTTCTGTAACATATCGGTTTCGGTATATCTTCGATGGCATAATACCGGTATCCAAAATCATACCAGTTTAAGTCCCTGGACAGAAGCACAAGAATTTCTGACGGGGGATGATTTTTAGAGCCGAAAGTGGAAGCGTGTCGTTCGCTCGCGCTTTGTCACAACGACGATTCACCCGCGCGCGGCCTCGCCTCGCGAACACGCGCATCGGCACACACTGGATGGCACGTCTCTCGGTGCCGTCGCAGCCGCCGTCGGCGTATATATCTGTATACGACACACGCCGTTATTTTCGGACTCGAACCGAAAATCAAAGGCGCGTTAAGAAGAGGCGCGCACGGTGACGCCGCTCTGCCCCCTCGTCATCGCGGAAAAGACCCCGGGAGGGAGGGAAGAACATTCAGGGACGTTTAGTGGGCATTTTTCTCATTTTCCATGTATCATTATCACGGTTGACGAACCGGCAAAATACCGAATAATCGACGAACAGTATTCGTAAAACGTAATATTTAAAAAAACGTGTATCCAAACCCCAAAGTCTGAGTTCACATATTATTTTTCATAAAAATTCACTGTCTAGCCATGAATTTCTTTGTTTTTTTTTTCCATTTTGGACCTCGAACGAACGCTCGTTAGAGGTTCGAACGGGGCGAAAAAGTTGTAGCGCGCGCGTTCGGTGCAACCGCGGGGGAATGTAAAAAGCTCTCTCGGCGGCCGTTGTCGCGACAACATTCTATTTGCAAACCCGGGGTCCTCGGTTGCCACGAGTTTCGGGCCGTCTGTGTTCGTTCTCGCAACATCAACAAAACGGATTTAGTATCTCGAGAGAACGTGGATTCACGGGGACAATTCGCGTATTACGCTTCTGTGAATTCCATGAAATTCGTGTGGAACGTTAAACGTACGCAGGTTCAGGTTAGAATTTTCATTGATTTCGAAGAAATCGTGCTTTGTTCGCCGTAAATCGGTCCCAGTAATGGAAATTAAATTATTAACCCCTTGCCTTACAACATCGAGTCAGACTCGTGGTGACAATATCAAAATGAATTCAACAAACAGAAATATTATTCATTTTTTAATACCTACTTTGCTGATATTAATATTTAACTTTTAGAGCAAATGTACAATTGCGATAAGTACACGACTTCCTTTTGTTTCTGGGGAATTATTAATGATAAAGTCATTCTGGAGACTGCAAACATTAAAAAAATCATAAGGCAAGGTGTTAATATAGGCTGCGTGCGTAAATAGAAGGATCTTTCGAAGGTGGATGTTCAATTGCACTAGAATCGAAGGTGAAAATTCAACTGGAATAGATTGAAAAATGACGAAGAGATCTAGGACTAAATTAATTTGTAAAAATCGATGGTTAGTCTTTCGCCTATTTATTGTATTCGAGCTCGAAGCTTCTCAAGACTTTGGAGATGAGGATCAGGAACACGGACGTTTCGTATATATATATACACGTAGAGAGAGAGAGAGAGATTCAAACGAGAAGCGCACGTGTCGCGCCGTGAAACTTCTATTTGCATGTCGACGTTTTCGGGTGCGTAGTTGTCGGCAATAAATCGACGGGGATTCTGCGCGGCGGCGGGCGTGTTTATCGCGAGGACTGAGATACACCGAAATTTTCTTCGGAGATTTCCACGTAGTTCTGGTTCACCCGAAATCTCGGAGGACACGCGAACTCGACGAAGAAATAAATGCAAAGCCACATCCACGCGCGATAAACGGTAACCGGAAACTTAACCGATTTCAGATCCTCTCGAGAGATCGATTCTGTGATTACTTTGTTCGATTACATAATTAGTTCACAAACGGTGTAACTACACTCCTGCGAAAATTTCGCTCTATTCACAAGGGTTCAGACGACTTCCGTTGCAATATCTCCGAGTATTTTTCATCCATAAAACGATTATCGTTGAGTATACAAATTAGTCCGGAAAGACCGATCGTCCACTTGGCCACAATCGAGTATATCCACCTCGAGAAACTGATCACGACACTATTCTCGAACGATCGAGAACAACGTCGAATCGATCATCGATCTCCGCTCGAAACTCCCGGATGCGTACTTACTGAACACAAAGCGAACCGATACGTCTCGAATTTTCAGGTGTGGGCAGAGTATACACGACTGGAGAAGGGTCGAATAATATGATTATTTTTTTCAGTTCGATCCTTCTGCGCGACGATCCCGAGGATCCCCTAGATATCAGCTGATCCTTCGAAAGGAGCAGATCCACCACTCCCACCCTGCCGAACGAGTTCGAGCCCTAGTCCAGGGGAATTAACTACCACCGACCACGAGGACCGGGGATGGTGGGGTGTTTCTCACTGATTCCGATCGTTTCGATTCACAGGGGCGTGTTAATCTCGCCTTCGCGGGCGCTCGGCACTGATCCACTCGATCCAAGGATCTGGTAGCCTGCCAATCCGGTTCCCTCGATCCCGGTCCACCCTTCGACGACGATCGAGAACCGCGCACTATAACCACCCCGTTTGTGTATAAAGTTGCTTTACGTTGACGAAATTTCTCTTTAAACCTGTCTATCCAAATCGACGACCAAAAAAACCGTTGAAAGAGGGAAAAAAACAAAAAGATCCATGGATATGAATAATCGAACCGATCGAGGACTACTCGACGGTGAACTGTATATTTAGTCCTACGACGATAACAACTGATACACGCTGGAAAGAAACGAGTTGATCCGATTAACGTGCGAAACGATCCACAAGCCGCGAGAGGCTGCGACAAAGAAAACGACGAACAAAAAATAACACACACTCGCCAAGGAGAAAGAGGACCGTCGACGACCGGGAACGACGGGTACGACGTCGGTCGTCGCGACGACACTGAGACGCCACCGGTCGTCGAGACGCGCGTATCTAGACGCGCGCCGAAGGCACCGCGCGGCGCGGCGCGGCGGCCAGGTACGGCACCCCAAACAGTTATTAATAGCCTCTGTCCTAGCTTACTAGATTTGCCCTCGAACCGCGCGACGCAACTGCTCACCACCCCTCCCCCTACTTTGCCACCTCCTACTTCTTCTTTGTACCACCCCTCCGTTCCTCCTGGCGAACCCACCACCCCCCACTACTTTGATTCTACCCTCCCTACAACGGTATTCTTCTGTATTTCTAATCACGTCCCGATTTTCTGCTCGGTATATTTTTTATTTAATGTAAAAAGTTAGACGCTAAATTAGTTATAATTATTTTCATTAGTTCAGTATTTCCGTACAGAATGCTACAGCCCGCTGTTAAAATAGATGCCAGTATTTTGATAGAAATTAATTTAATTAGTGTGTCCGTCGTAAAGGAACTTGATTTGAACAGTTCTTTAACGCGTGTTACGCATAGATTAGACGTAAATTATTGTGACCTTTTTATATTTTTTAAAAATATATGTAAAAAGACGTATAGCGATGCTCGATAATCGCATGCAGATTTTCCGTGTCATTTTTCGGTCCGTCGTGGGGAGGGGGGCGGTACCATAAAATTTACACTGCGACACTTTCGTGATGGTTGGCTAACAGAGGGGGAATCCCCCGGGGACGATCAGCAAATTGCGCGAAAAAAAAGAAAAATAACTCGACGAAGAAGGCCGGTCCACAACTGATTCTTGCCACGTTTCGAATCCCCGCGGGAGATCACCCGGCCGCCTCTCCTGTCCGCCGTTTTTCGCGTCAATAAACCCGCGGAAAAACAATGAAGACGAGTTTTTTTTTTTTTCGAAACACTGAAAATAGACCTGCATCCGTGTATCGACCGTTCGATCCTATATGTATCGATGATATTTCCAACGACAATAATTATAAAACTTGACTGGCAAGCATCGTGTATGTAAGCCAGACGCAGGTCAATTGCACGTGGGTCGTTCGAGAAGTTCTCGAAGCAGAGAGACAAAGATGAATTCTACTTTTCATTACAATGCCCTTTGACGTCGACGCATTTGGATCAACGATGTTCCAATATTTATAGCCTGAATGCACCAATCAATGAATACTTTCGCAAGTATTGAAATCGAGCTTTAAATAGTAATAATATTAATAAATATCTGACATATATAAAAATCAAATTGTTTTAATACCTATATCTTTTTAGATCGTACACAGATTTCAATTATAAAACTATAGATTTTACCGGTGAAGGGACAAATATTCACTAAATGAACATTTCTAAAAAAGTTACATCAAAAAGTGTGTGCTCCCTCGTACCATTTAACATTTATCCGAAACATTCCAAATATCGCGAGCAATTTCAAACATATTCGATTGGAACGATTTAAACGGGACACCCACTATACAATCATTCCTATAATTTCGAAACAACGATTCAAGAGTCTGGGGGCGTTCAAGGGTTAAACAGTGTCTCGCTACTCGATATCTTCGAATGCATCGCAATCGAAGGGTTAAACGTTTCCGTTCGACCGGCAACGCACCGATTACCCCCCTCCCCTCCCTCGAATACCGAGTCTGTGCACCAGAGAGTCGGCTCTGGCCGCTCGACACCCGAAGAATTCCTCTTCTCGGTCCTCCTCCCCCAAAATTCCGTTTCTCGCAGAACCGGACCCGTCCATAAATCGTCCCCGTTGGAGTCGCGATCACGTGTCGCGGGGTTAAGCGTTCCAAAGACTCGACGAACTCACTCACCCCCTTCCCACCACCTCCCGGAAGCGAAGTAGGTGGCCACGAGGGGACATAAAGGGGTGGTGGTGGTCTTGGTCTCTGTCCGCAGTAAGAAACGGACAGGCGAAATGTCGGACGTCCGTGGAAGCGTGTTTTGCGGATCCTGTCGGTCCGCGTGGCCTGTTCCACGGAGGATGAGAGAATGAACAAGGGGGAGGTGGGAGGGGGAGGGAGGGAACGACCCCCCTGAAAGGAGGGTGAAGCGCGTTCGGTGGCGGAACGGGCGCCGGAACAAGAAGAACGTGGAAGAAAAAGGATGAACAGAGAGAAAGAGGGGGTGGAAGGGTACCACGCGGCTGCTGGCGAAGCCGATCGATAGCCAAACTCCTCGTCGCCACCTAAGATAGACACTGACATAGACTTCCCTAGAGTAGATAGAGAACGAGTTATGCGTGGTGCCTGCAGATACGCTCGCAATTTCTGATAGTGCCCAAACCCCTTCATCCCCAACCCAATCCTCCACCACCCTCCTCCTTTTCGTTCTTCGCGTTCCTCGGTGTGCACGGTTGGACGAGCACCGAATATTTTTGGGTAGATAAGACAGATTGGCTCCTGGAGGTCGCGGAACGATCTTGCGAGGATCGTCTGGAAACGGGAGGTGATCGTTTCGCGATGATACGAAGAATATTGTGTGTGGTTGCGTGTTTACGGGAATGCCTGGGTGCGAACCACGACGATCGTGGAAAAAGCTAAACGGTATTTAACCCTTTGACGCTGATACACCGGTGCAATACTCATTTTAATCAGTTTAATATCTAATTTTTGTCAGCAACGAGCCGTAGGTTCACTGATGTGAAACAGGTCTTCGCATTTTCCGTTGAGATATTCTAGTATTTCTACCAAAAATAAAAAAAGAATTTTTTTTAATGGAGAAAATAGGTCTGTTTAATATCGATATTTTCGATTTTGAAGTAACGAGGTGTACAATATACAGACTGTAGCCGAATAACATGTACAAGTGGGTACGAAGGGATTCCTTATCGAAAAATAAGAAGAAAATATGGAATAAAATGTTTCAAAATAAGACTTAGTTTTCTAGAAAATGGTCTATGAAAAATAATCTGAAACACGTATATGCACCATAGTAGTAAGTAGAAACGGAATGCAATAGACAGACGCGCTGGCCCAGTCCTATTCAATTGCCCTCGTATCTAGCAGATTTTTAAACAGTCTACTGACTTAAACCGTGCAATAAAATATTTTCTTTTACTCTTCAAAGAATACATTTAGATCTAAAAGGGCGATACAACATTGTGCCTTCTGACAGATGGAAAACCAACCAAAAGAAGCTGGGGGAATTTATTCGCAGTAATGTCGAAACAGTTATACACCTTAATTTGCCCCCAGGCAGGATGCTGAGTTTCGTAGCGATTATATAGGCGAGGATATGTTCGTCACGTGACGAGCAATTTTACCACCGAATCACGGTGGTAATGCACACGGGCCGCGTCGTATCAGAGCACACCATCCAGGAGTGAATATCGTGTTCGTCGGCCGCTAATGACTGTTCTAAGTTCGCTGGAGACGAGGACGCTGGTGTTTCCCCCCCCTTCCCACCCCTCGAGGACAACGAACCTTCTCCCGGCTATATCCGCGCGACATTTCACCGCCTAAGTGGGCTACGAAATTCCTTATTGCCGTGGCAAAAAGTTCGCCGCACTTCCACTGTCGTTCCCCACCCCCGTTGTTCACCACGAAACTCCTTCGCAGTTCCTGCGGGCTCTCGACCTTTTCGGCTTCTCGTAGGGTCTCGACGGGTCCCCTTTTGCCCTTCGATGATTCGTTTCTTTTATTTCGAGATTCCCTTATCCTCTGGCGACGTTGACGGAATCGGGAGAAATTGAGAGAACGAAGAAACAGATGCAATTTGTGATTCGTATAGAATCTTAGATTCGTAGAATCTGGATCTCATAATCATCTCCATAAACATTCGGATAAAACGTTCGTGGTTAGGAACGTTGTTCCTCGCTGATGTGCATCGACGATCTAATTAATCCCCCCTCCCCTTAGCCAGGTTTCGCGGGATTACGTAATTTCTGATTGGTCGCGTCCGACGGACAATTCGCCACCGGTTTTCGACACGCCGGAAACACGGATTTTCGACCGCCCTGGCAGAGAGAGGAGGGATTTCACGACGAATTTCCCAGCGTGGGTGAAACATCGAGAAACTCGATCGCCAACGGAGCTCCGCGTGCTCGCGTAATTTAACCGGTGAATCACATACAAGCCTCGACGAATTTCCGGGAAGACCGCTGGAAACTGTGCACCACTTTTCACCCTTGCGAAGGAACTTTCCCTTTCTTTGAAAACAACGGTGTTTACGTCGAGGCTTCGAACGCGTCGGAACGATCGGGCTATGAAGGCTCGACACGCACGTGGACGCGCAACGATTTTTCTGATCCAGGATTTCCCTGTTTTAACCCTTTGCCTTACAACGTCGAGTGAGATACGTGATAACGATTTCAAACTGAATTTAGTAAACACATATATTATTCGTTTATTATTGCAAATTTAGAATAAATTGTCATAAGAATAGAATTCCTTTTGTATCTGGGAAAATATTAACGATAAAGTGATTTTTGAGAGTGAAGTCGTAAAAGAAATCGTATGGCAAGGGGTTAACATTGGAACTATCAAAAAAATGACGGATTGTGGGTTTCTTATTTTAGGATCACTGAAATTATACGAGTATTTTAGGCGAAATTGGCTTCTAATTTACTAAAGATTGTAGGTTATACTATATTATGT